TTTTTTTTTGATATGCACTTCATTAAAAACCCACGAGGCACCACTACAGATGGGACTTGTATTTTTAATATTAAAAACAAATTTATAGTATTACAAATTATTACATGCCATTTTAGGCGCGGGGCCCCTAAAATGGCGGGGCCCTGTGCAGCTGCCCTTCCGCCGGCGCTGGTCCACACTGACTTTTCAATCTGCCTTGCAAATGCAGAGCAGAGCCGCTCCGATCGAAWCTAGTGGCGTCGTCTAGTATTTATTTTTATGTTTCCTGGGAATTGGAATAATTCTCTCTTTGCTGGATTTCACCAGCAATAATTGATCAATTCTATGAAAAGTGAAAACTCTTAGTTGCTTACCATTGATTAATATGGGAAATATTACCTAATAAACTTGGTATGTTAAACTGAAGTTAATACTAACAATAGGTATTTAATACCTATTTATAATCAATGTGTTTTATTTTGTAGGTAAATTATGCGACCAAATTTATTGATAATATTGTGAAATTAGTAATTTAACTTTGGACCATTTAATTTACCTACCTAGGCAATTTCTTAGATTTTGTAACTTGTATAAACCCTGGCAGCCTGGCCATATTATGGTACATGAAAAAATAGGGTCGCCAATCTACAGGTGCACCCCCTCGGCCGCTCACATAAAACGATGCCCCATCCCCATGCACCCATATTATAATCAAAATAAATAAACAATAATATATGATTAGAGGTCTACGTCATTGTTTCATTATTGTAATGATAATATGCTCACACATCATTATCGTTATTTATACAATAAATWTTGACCAGATACGRAGCGCGTATAAAACCAAAATTCACCAAAGAAATCATTTTCAAAGACGGAAATAAATGATCTATATTATATGATCACGAATTAAGTAATCGGCACGTTTATATTTATTGCAGCAAGGCCATAACTGAAAACAATTTTTGGAGGTCTGAATTTTTTGTATATGTATACYGGTTACATCATTTTTACATTAAAAATATAAAAACTGTTATTGACCTGGTCATTAGGTACAAGAGGAACGCATGTCACATGGCAAACCAATGTGGCTATGCCATCGTACCTCAACTTAAATTAATARATCTAKTCAAATTGAATTTCAATTTTTTAATAAATAAAACTGGTGTACACYRTGTACTGTCCAAATGTGTTCATGGAAATATACTAATATAGCTATTATAAATTTATAAATAATAGATTGTATTTTGCTTTTAAGTAAAAACAATTTTTTCTTAGATAAATTGTATGCAAATATTTGTTGTTTGTGCATGATTTAAACATGTATGATGTATGAATCATGATTCATGAGCTTATGACATAAATTAATCATATAATTATAAATTATAACATATACTAATATATTTCATATATAATAATATATTACATTCTGTACCAAATTAGAATTTCCAACTGATTGTTACTTGTTAACAAGAATTATATAATGTTTTTTTTTTAACTGTTTTGCAAATAACAACTTTTACTATATTATACTACTAATTCATTCCTTTAATAACTAACTATTAATATTTATGAATTATGTATTTATAAGTTATAACTAGGGCTCGGAAGTTGATGACCTTAAAAACAATAAAAAATGCCCTAAAAAAATATGTTAAAATGACATAAAWATGTCCTAAAAAAATGACCTAAAAATTACAAATATTAATGTTATACATTTTTTTTTAAATATTTTACTCTATTTTACTATAAAATTCAAAATATGACATAAAAATGACAAAAATATCCTTAAAATAGGAAGATAAAAAAATAAAAAATATTTGTTTTATAAATTTATCAAAGCTTACAAATTATTTAAAAATTAAAATCATTGCATTCCACAATTAGAGCGTATTTTAAGTTATCGAAAGTAATTGAACGACGATTATMTGTTAATAAATATTTATAATTGGAAAAAAATTTCTCTCTACGTCTACTGAAGTSATTGGGGCAAATCTGAAATGTACCAAATCATCAGTTAAAATGACTAAAAATGTGGGAAAATGACTTAAAAATTTCAAAAAATTACTTAAAAAGTAATAAACACCAAAAAATGCAAAAGAATGCAAAATAAAAATTAGTTATTCAGATTCACATGCTTATGAAACAGATTTGTAGCCAGGAGAGTATCGTCTAAAAAGTTCCAAAAAAAAATGCAAAATGCATCAACTTCCGAGCCCTAGTTATAACTAATGTAATAATATAGTAACTAACAACTGATAGACAAAATACTTTCTAGAAAAGCCTCTAATGACTAATAGTACCTACTTGTCAATAAATATATAAATTAATAATATTATAAATGTGAAATATACACCAACATCATCACAGATTATATGAAATAAGTTTATATTAATTATTTATATAATATGTGATACCATGTACAAAGTACTAAATAATTAAGAGAAAAATATTGTTACTAAAAATTAAGTCGAGTTAAGTATATTATAGTTTATTCGTGTTTTTAATAGATTCACTAAACAAATGTAGTAATATTAAATTAATGTTAAATGATAAATTGTATTATGTTATATGTTTTAAGATATTATTTAATCCAATTTTAGGTTTTTTATTTAGTGTTATTTTTATGTATTTATTTATTTTCTGGTAAAAATATTTTTCTAGAAAAAATGTGATTATGAAAAGTTTAATTCATATATATATATAAGATGTTAAAATTATTTTACCCACGGGCCATAGCTCATAAATATTTTATTTGAGCAAGAACCGAATGAATCAATTACTTTTTGAATAATTAAAAAACATACAACATATTATAATTTATAATACTAATGCTCACAAATCTAACGATACTTTATTATATTGTTTAAGTATCTATATGATGATTATTAACATTTCATCAGTGAAAACATTTTACTAACTAGTGAAATATCAACTCTATGCAGAAGGAATGTCAATAAAATATGAAATAAAACAATTCTAAATAGAATCAGTCTATACAAAAATATATTAATTTTTACACATACGAAAGGATTTCATATTTTATCATACTATCTAGTATTAAAAATACTAGTATAACAGTAAAACAATGTTAAAATAACATTTATATTCAGTATGGTCATCATGAAGAATCGCCATGAATATTAAAGAGTTTAGCAACTTCATTGAGATCTTTGTAACATCTGTCAGATTTAAGCACTTGGCGTGCTATAGACATTCTGTTGAACAAATTCCATAACACAATTCCAACAATTACATCATTTTTCAAATAGAAAACAACACCTTTTTTGTACTCATTTTCAGAAATAGTTTCATTATTTTTGGATACTAATTCTTCATTTATTTCATTTTTATTGGTTGAGGTATTTTGATCAATTTCATTAGCTAAAATTGATGGATCTTTATGGATTCCTTTGGCAAACACACCTATTGTTGTTAGAGACGAATCAACAATTCCAATTGCTTCATAACCAACAGAAGGCCCAATGTCTGACCAAAACATAGGTTGATGTTGATATGGTTTAGCTAAAAATATGAAAATAAAATTTTATTCTGGATCAAGTAATATAATAACTAAGTTACATAAAAGTTCCTTGGCCTTCACCAGATACCCAAATACTCATTATTAATGTTTTGTTCTTAATTTCTTGTTTATAAATAATGCTGAGTAAAATTATTTTAATTTTAAATGTTTATTATCAATTTCTTAGATATATACTAGTTATTTTATTTGGGTAATGTGTATTTAGAATTTTGTTAATTATTAATTTATTTTTAACATTTTAAGGGTGTTTACGAAATCATCCTATTACAATAACACCGCAATATAAAATTTTGTAAATACTGCACATGGAAAACAAAGTAAATTTGATAATACTGTATCGACACGTAACTTAGGATGTTATCATTTGAATAATGTTYGGGATGTCCAAAGAAAAAAAAATATATAGGTATATATAATTACTTTAACGTTACTTACCAGCACCAGCCATATTTTCACCAGCTAATCGGCCCGATATCACAGCATGATCATGATGTTCGACACGCCTCCTTCCAAGTTGTTTGTCATAAAAACAAGCACAATCACCAGCCTATAAAAATAATTTAAGATAAATACAACATTAACAATATAACATGTAAAATATATAAAATATAAATATTTTTAGAAACTAACAATATACAAATCTGTTCTTGCTTGTAATTCAGAATTGACTAAATAACCATCAAGTTTTGGATCAACTTCTAGTCCAGCATCAGTAGCAAGTTCAGTGTTAGGTTTAGCGCCAACTGCCATTATTACATGATCAACAGATATCTGAAAAACCATTACTTTAAAAGTTAAGAATTTCAAATTTTTAATCTACTGTCAAAATGTACTGACGTTTTTCCCATTACTTAATATCAAGTTGACTTGTTGTTTATTATTTTGTAAGCTGCAGTTTTCTACTTCTGTTTCGGTCACCACTTCAACACCTTCATTTCTAACTTTTTCAGTGGTCCATTGGCTAAGATATTTAGGTAAAACTTTTCCCATATTACCCTTTTCTTTAAATATTTGATAAATTTTAACTCCATTTTTTTTCCCTTTGTTGGCCAAAGAAGCAGCAAGCTCACTACCCAAAAATCCACCACCAATAATGGCAATAGATTTTATATGACCCAGTTGTTCCCATAAATCTTCAAAATCACTAATTGACCGAAATACTGAAAATTTATTTTTAATTTCTTCACTTGCGTCATCATATAATTTTAATGTTTTTGGAACTGAACCAGTTGCTATTAAGCAYTTATCATAACTAATTTCTTTGCCATCATTTAGCTTCACTTTTTTCTTTGATACATCTATAGATTCAACTTTCCAGCCTCGAGCAAGTGATATACCACCATTTTTGGCCGTGGTTAATTCTTCAACAGGTGTATAAAATGGTTCAGGTTCATAAAATAGACTTCTAGATGTACCATTCCATTGATGAAAGTTCAACGATTTAGCCATTTCAGTATCATCACCATACCATAATTCTTTAGATAATGGCGGTCGCATATGAGGAAGATAACCTTCAGCTGATATTACTAAAACCTTGATTTAGAATGTCAAAATACATCATATTATTTTTAATTAGATAAAAATAAAGTTATTTTACCCTGGCAGTGGGATCTGCTGACTTGATTGCTCGGAATGCAGAGAAGGAAGCTGTACCTCCGCCAATTAATAAATACTGTATATTATCAGGTATTGATTCAGATAATGAAGGAATTTGAACCAGTTTGCGGATTTTTTTAGCTAAATTAAACATTAGTGAGTTGTAATTTAGATATTTGCTAAATATAATGTCTTAAATTACCATTTGTTGTTTCTTTTGTAGTATGGTTATCATCTTTCTTTTGTTTCATTATGTCAAAATGATAGATCTGTTTTAGAAAAAATATATGATATAAGTTATATTAGCTAATAGGCACCTGGTAGGTGCTATGTATTATTTTAATTTATTATCACTGAATATCATGGGCGGATAGGCCATTTTTGGCCTATCGGAAAATTTAAAAAAGGGGCCCCACATGAAAAAGAATTTAATAATATGATATTAAAGGGCCCCATTACTGAAAGATGAAGGGGAGCCCACCGGGAAATGCCCGGTTGCCCTGTAGGCYTATCCGCCCATGCTGAATAATATTATATGAATCATGTCATTTAATTTTACTCGTGAAATTTAGTTCCATCAATAATTTCAATACTTACACCATAAATTGTTCCTGATAGAATAATAGTTCCTCCTAAAAGACTCCAATTACGAAAAGACTGTTTATTTTTAGAATCATTTTGCCAGCCATAACTTTTTTCAGATCCTGAAGAATGAGCTGTTGTTGGTGGATTTGGTGTGGTAGAAAATTCATCCTAAGGTATAATTAATTTTTTTTTAACCATTAATAACAAAACACATTKATATTAATTTTATCGACTTTTGGTCTACCTTAGCCACTATAGGGCAAGTTTTTAGAGGATAWYCATTAGATTCTGACACTTTTATTTCTTTTTTAGTTATATTGACTGGTTCATATATTTTTTTGTTTTTTTTTGAAAAATTKATTTTAACAGGTTTAATGACCTAAAATTGTTATTAAACATCATGTTACTTTTAGTATTTGATTAACTTCAAACTGTTTAGGCATATAATATTAGCATTATTGTGGAGCATACAATGTAGTACACTTAAAATGTTATTTTTATATCTATTACGTGTAATAGAAATAAATTATTATAAAAGTTATGGAAATATTTAAACACAACTTATACCTAAACATTAATTTGTATTATATACCTAATAGTTGAAATACATCTTATTTACTATTCCATAATATATTGTTTTAAATAAATTGAATACAAAACTACTATGTGCATCCTCTAATTTTAATTTATTTTTATTAATGTAGTATAAATTGGTTGCACAAGAAATCAGAGTAACAATTAAAGCAAATTTATTTGTACTATGTAACTTTAGCATACATAAGGTAAATAGGTATAAAATTGACTATGATTCATTTAGATTAAAAATAAAAATAAAACTTTAGCCATGCACTTATTATAAGTGATTTAAAAAAAAAACTTGTTTTTATAATTTAAATAATTTATAATTGCCAATAACTTCATGCTAAATACCTAATTGTGTTTAAATCAATTTTTAAAGGCAATCTAACTATTATAATATGTGTATTGTCAACAAGGGAATCTATCATTAAAAGCCGATATAATTATAAAAACAAACATTATCTATTATAGGTACCTACTAATTGTACAACACTCTTTTACCTGTATCAATGGAGGAGTCTTTCCTCTATTGTTTTTTCCACCACCATTCTTTTTATCACTATAATTTTTACTTTCCCAGGAATTTAGTAATTTGGTTCCTGTAAAAACAATTCAGACGTATAACGCATAATACTTAACTCAAAAATCGTGGTATTAAATATTAAACTATTAAAGTATACTAACCCGGAGAAACCGGCGGTCTGAGTAGTCTGAGCTTGGACAGCATAGCTATTAAATACTTGAGCTGATGAAAAGAATTCTCGTCCTCAACGAGCCGGACGTTTAAAGACTTTTGACTCAATCTATATATATATATAGGTAATAACAACAAAATTGCTACAAAATTAAAACGCACTTAAAAAATAACTGAAATAATATGATCAAAAGAATACAATAATAATAATAACACGGTTTGACGGCTTCAGTGTTCAAAGACGGTTCGGCTTCAGAGTTTATTCAGCAATGAACGTTTTGGAAATAAAATGTGTTCGACAATCGTCAAGAAAACTTGGGTACCTACATCTGATCCGAATGGCATTTTTCATGGAACGTTGAAAATTAAGGTGAACGCGAGTATGATAATGGTGGCGCGCACGGTGGCGGCTCATTCGACGTKTACGCACATACACGACATACCTGTCCAAATTTTCATTCATTGGATTCGTTTGGAACCATAATTTAAGGTATACCTAACAACATGTTTAGAAAATAAACCAAATATAATATGAATTTATTTATTTTTTGATTTAATGGCTAAGAAATCAAAATTTTTTTACGATTAATTTGTATTTTACGCCAATAATGGATACCTATAATACCAATGTCAATGTGTATGAACTATAAAGTATGAACGCTCACCAAAAATACCGTATGAAATGGAATAACACAACGATTTGATAGTTTTGAGGGGTGATAATAATTTACATAATTTATCTATTTATTATTTAAATTTAAACGCACTTACCCGAATGGTGCACTAGTGCATTATGCTAATCGGAACCGGTTTTCATCAAGAAAACGACTTAGATTTTATTATTATTATTACATAGTTACTTAATATTATAAATTATAATATAAGTAGTAAGTAGGTACTATACAACTATATATATATATATATAAATTTATTTATATATTTATTTATTTATTTAATATAAACGGACGTCAGTCCTAAAACATAATAATATTACATTGTGTGTGAAAAATGTATTTATACGTAAAACATAATTTATAGTTAAATATATACTTAAAATTAGAGAATGAGTAAAATAATAATGCTAAAGTAGATATAGAATACTAATCAAATATACAAATTAATATTCAAATATAATCAAAGACAAAAGTATTACCTGCAGGCTGCAGTCATAAGAAGGTTAGCAGGAGAGTYCATGATGGTATAATTTTTTGTTGAAAGAAGTGGATAAAAGGGTTTTGGATCACTAGTATTAAGGTACCTAATTAATTTTAAAACGAATTAAAGAGAAAATTTCAGGACAATCTATTGAACCTAACATTAATTTTTGTAAAAATTTTGAGAGTAAAAGTGTACGACGGTCAGAGAGTAGAGAAATATTAAGAATATTTAAAACATTATTATATGTGCCATGGGTAGGTCTGTTTATGTTAAGTTTAAATGAGATAAAACGTAAAAAATTATTTTGGACAGATTCCAGCGTAAGAGCTTGTTCCGACGTACTATTTATCCAGATGAGGGGGCCCGGGGCAGTACTCTAGATTAGAACGGACAAGAAAGATGTGGAGGATTTTTAAGGGAATAGGATCTGAAAATGCAGCACAAGTACGTTTAATAAACCCCAAGTTACGAAAAGCTTTATTTTTAATCATTTCAGTATATGTAGAGAAAAATTTAATTTACGATCAAAAATTATACCCATTACCCAAATMTTTAAATTGATTAACAAAAGCTCGACATTTGTGCTAGAAATTGAGTACTGAGAGTTAACGGGATTTTTAATTAGGTAAAATTTCATAAATTYACATTTTTGTATATTAAAAATAGATTATTCTCATTACACCACAAAATAAGGTTATTAATGTCTAATTGCAAATTAAAAGCGTCTTATTCTGATTTAATAATTTTTACTAATTTTGCACCATCAGAAAATAGAAGGATATTAAAATTAGTGATGACATTAGGTAGATCATTTATAAATAATTTAAAAAGAAAAGTTGACAAGTATATATATAATAACATAATCATACTGAGTGGTTCACCAAGCGTCCTCACTCTACTCATCCTTACGGTTTACGGCGGGACTTTCATATTAATTTTATTAATAATAATTTAGTTCATATTTTCATAGTAAATTTATTATTGAATGAGTAGTTTCTGAATTCTGAGATATTAAAATGTTAAATAACCTAACATTGAATAAAAACCCTTAAAAATAGTTTTACAAAAATATAAAATAGAAGTCTAAATTGGATCTAGTATTTACTGTACTTCTATTACTTCTGCTATTTTTACCAATTAATAACATTATATTTAAACGGC